AGAAGCTTCCTACGGGAGCTGAAGAGTTTTGAGCGAAAAGAAAATGCTTTGAGAATGCATTTGAGGCCTTTGAGAATGCTAATGTAATTCCAGGACTGGAAGAGTCCCTTTGGGGAGGGGGGGGCGGGGGCGGAAATCTCAAGTATTTGGACAGAGAGTCGTGGTCAGGCTCAGCCAGCAGTGAGCCCGTATCCCACTTCCTGTGAAATACGGAACTTTCTACAGGGTAGGGAGCTACAACTGCCCTCTTCCTAAATCACTGCACCCTCCACAGTCCCAAATACCAAAAGACTCTTCCGTTTTACCTTCATTTCATGGGTCTATACAGATTATCCATCTGTCTAGACTCTTCAAATGAATAATCAGGCTGGACCCAGAGTGGTCACGTTAATTCTTATTTTTTGTTGTCTCTGTGTCACATCACATTGATATTCCTACATCCCCTTTTATGAGCCAGCCTCTGAAACAGACTTCCTTCCTTATTTGCTGTGTCCAGTTGTACCCCCGGCTGTCTTGGCATTAACTGAGTAGATTAGCAGGCTGTCAGTGTGATACAAATGACTGAACAAAGACTTGTAGACATTACCTGGAATCAGTCATGTAGAAATAAAAATATATATTAAAGGGCCAAAGGCTTCTAAATACAGGCCAACCCAAGAAAGCTGTTTCCTCTCCGTATGTCATCCCCTTTTTGTAGAGAGTGCTTCCCTGGCATTTATTCTGTATCAGGAATGGAACAGGAGAAAGGCACAAGACCTCTTGCCTCTACTAAGTCATTCATGATTTGGGAAGGACGATGACATCTAAAATGATTTATGCTTAAAACATAAATGAAAAAAGTAGGATTCAATGTGTTCAAAGATTCATGGCATCATTGTTTGTATTTGGAAACAGTATATATTTATTAGAAATTAGAAGTAAACAGGGGCACCTGGGTGGCTCAGTCGATTAAGCATCCGACTTGATTCTGGCTCAGGTCATGATCTCACTGTTCATGGGTTCAAGCCCCACATCGGGCTCAGTGCTGACAGCTCGGAGCCTGGAGCCTGCTTTGGATTCTGTGTCTCCCTCTTTCTCTGCCCCTCCCCAACACACGCTCCCTCTCTCTCCCTCTCTCAAAAAAACAAAAACCAAGACAAAAACAAAACCTATGATGAGATGCTATTTTTAAATTTTCATATTTATGAAGGTCCAACGATTAGAAGCACACTTTATAGATGTTGCTGTGGGGAAAAAAGACTTCATCCACTTTTGGAGAAAGAACTAAGGGCATAATCCCTTTTAAGGAAAATTTAGGAATATTTACCCATACTCTGTGCAGCCTCACTATGGCCCAGGAGCCGCATTCCCGGGAATGTGTGTGCACAAATGGGAAGTGAAATATACACAAGATCGTCCCTGTAGGTCTGTACTAAATAGGCAGAGATTGGAAGAACTCAAGGGTCCTCCAATAGAGTACCAGTCAGATTAAACACACAATGGAGGACGATGGGATTAATTTTAAAATGGGAAAGCAGGAGTGCCTGGGGGGCTCAGTCAGTTGAGTGTCTGACTCTTGGTTTCAGCTCAGGTCATGATCTCATGGTTCGTGGGTTTGAGCCCCGAGCGCGGGCTCGGCACGGACAGTGCGGAGCCTGCTTGGGTTTCTCTGTCTCTCTCTCTCCCCCTCCCCCATTCTCTCTCTCTCTCCCTCTCTCTCTCTCAAAAACAAATATTTTTTTAAAAAATGGAAAGCATTCTCTACAAGGAGATGGAAAGATCTCTGAGATTTCTCATTAAGAAAAAGGAAAGGAAGGGTGGAGTGAAATGTATGGTGTGGGGCCTTACGCCTAAGAATCGGGGACTATGAAATATAGTCATCTTCTGAGTGTTGCACATAGAAACACTAATCCTGCAGGGCAAATGTTACAAGCCCTTCAGGAATATTATCTGTTGAAGCAAAAAAAAAAGTATATATTAAAAAAACTTGTTACGTCAATGATAGGCTATGGTCATACGTCCTTGTTTGCCCCCAGACATCTCTGGTTTATTACACCTGATATTCCAGGGTAGTTACTAGTAACACCTCCTTTGCTGTCAGATGCATTCAGCCGGTGTGGCAAGCCCTTTGCATGCCAGAATGTTAGCCTTGACGCCCGTGCAGACCGGCTAGCCTGGTTCTGGTATCATAAGCGCTGGCTTGTTCTCACCGCCTCTCCTGCTACAGTCTTCTCCGGAGGTCACCGAGGGAGAAGTCGACAAAGTCGGGTCTTGCCTTCAGCGCTCACCCCAACCAGGCATTGCTTCTCAAACATTTTTTTCACGTCATAGCACACATTAAAAGTGATGCTATCTGTAGAAAACCCTTGGGTTTCTGCCAGAGGCAGCCAGGCCGGGACTCTAGCTCCTTCGGGCCCCACAGGACCACTCAAAGGGCAGGTTTTAGAGGTAGGAGTCAGCAACTCAGCACCCCAGTTCTTTGTATCGGTGGGGAAAGGGCACTAGGGATGATCCAAACTGCAGGTTGTAGAAGGAAGGACCCGAGGTTGCAAGAGGGGAAAGATGATAAAATGAAGGCGAGGGGAGTTTGGAGCTGTGGAGAGACTAAGTAAGGCCCTGTCTCCGTCTGCGGTTCAAAGCGGGGCGCTCAATCTCCATGACGCTCCTGGGACTCTCATCCGTTTATTCATTGATTTGTTCATAAACCATCGAACACCAAGCCCTGTGCCAGACATCAATGATGCTGCCTTGAGTTGTTAACTGCTTGTCTCCAAAACAGGATTGTGAGCCCCCAGGCACACTGCAGAGTGTAGACACAGGGACGGGATCCCCAGGGCTATTAATGAACATGACCCAAGCCACTGCAAGGGCAAGCGGCCCCCAGCCACTCTCTGGTGCTGCCCCCCGGCAGAGAACAAAGCTGTTTCCATTGTGCCCATAACCACACCTGCGACAAGAGCTGTCTGAGTGAAAAGAGGTACAAGAGGAGAGAAAAGACCAGAGCAGAAAAGTAAGACATAACCGGCCAGCAGAACGGAGTGCTGCACCTTGCATTTAGGGAGGCGGCACGGACTTCCTGCAGCGCTGACGTCGGATGCTTAGGTCCAAAGAAGATGCTTCGCTCGGCATGTTACCAATTCTACTGACGTCACCCATAATAAAAATGTGAGCTCTGTGTGAGACGAAGCATCCTCACAGGAAGAAATTTCCACTGCAGAACTGTATGTGGGGGAACAGTAAGTGTTTACCCAGTGCCTAAAAGTTCTAGTATTGTCTTCATTTTGCAGATCAGGAAACTGAGGCACAGGGAGTTAAGTGCGTTGCTGAGGTCACACAGCAAGTAAATGGTAGAATTAATGTCCGAGCCCAGGCAGATAGCCAGTAAAGCCCACGCTCTAAATCACTACCCTGCCCTGCCTCTAGAGTAATATGGCTAACTTATATATTGAACACTTAGGATGCGTCCTTTCGCTTAATTTTTAGAACTCTTGGTTATAGAATTTTTTAAGGAAAACAAAAAAGAAGTAAAAAAGAAGTTATTTATTTTTTTTTTTTGGTCTGTCTTTTTTGACATAGTCGAAAAGCAGCAAAACCAGGGGTTTGGACCAACACCTTCCTCTCTCTGTGTTGGGTGTCCAGATCTGACCCACGGGGGCCTCCTTCGGGCCCTGCTTTCTCTAAGCAGTGTTGCAATCATGGAATCAAAGCTCCGTAAGCAGGAAGGGATATGAATGGCCACGCGCTCACACAGAGAGGACAAGACCGTGCGACTCACCAAGGTCATGCCCGTGAGGGTGAACCCACTGACCCTCAGACCCGTGGCCCCACGGATCCCGGTCTGGTCCGTGTCTCTTCACCACAGCCCAGAAATCGTACTATTTTCCTCACATAGATATTCGGATGCTTCTTCCTTCTTCCGAGGGATATTATGAAGGTTAAAGGCACACATATGAGAGAAGCTAGCACTGTGTTCCGAAATAGGGCAGACATACCAAACATAATTGGTTTGAGTTTTTTAGCAGTTACTTGTATAAAAATGAAAATAGATAGGGTATTCAAGAGCCATACAGCGGCCTCAGCTCTGCCAAAATTTGGGTCCTGTCTCTCACCCTGTGACATGCTTTGGCAGGCATTTGACCTTCAGTCCACATGTCACCAGAGTCCGGAGGTTGAACCTGAGCATTAACTTTCAGACTTTGCTCGACAGAGGACTTGGTTTGGGGGGGGTGGGGGAGGGGCAGGAGGAAGAGCCGAGGGGAAGAAGGCACAGAACGTGACCCTGCTTTCTCTTTCAACCTGTTTTCTACTTCGCAGGTGAGTGCTTAGTACGCAAGATTTGCAAAGCTCTTTGTCTGCTGCTCGGGTTTTGTTTCTGTTGCTGTTTACTTAGCACGGCTGCGGATCCCTTCTCCGGAATGGTCCGTGACATTGGGCGAGAACTCAGACAACACCCCCGTCGTCACCATCTCCCTCTTGCCCCAAGAGAGCACACTGTAAAATGCAGCCTCCGGCCTCCTGCTCCCAGGGTGGGGGGGTGTTCTCCCCCCACGGAGCTGCCCTCCCCCACCCAATAGCCCACCACCCCTGGCTCTGCCTGTGCTCACACCTGGGAGCCATAGCTTTGGGCTCCTGTTTTCCACTCTCCCACCCTTTCTTCTGGGCAACGCTCCGCCCCCACCTTAGCTTTAGATTATCTTCATCTGCTCAGCGTTGCTCTGTCTCCCCAGATTGGAAGTTCAGCAGAAGCATTTGCATGGGGTCCCTGGTTTTTTCCTTTCTCCTCTGTGGCATTTTTCCCCCGTTAGATTGGAATGCAATCGAACACACACCTCCTTTCTCCCTACATGTTCACGTCCGATGAACCCAGGTATGTCCCCCTAGTGTGCGTCTGCAGCACGTTCGACAAATAATCTGATGGATTCGTTCACTGGTGTGGACTTCAACCCTGACCAGATGATTGACCAACCAACCGGCCGGTTCCCACTGTGGCCAAGCAGCTGAGCTGTGACCAATTCAGCCCGTCAGGGTCCCTTCAGAATAGTCCTGACCCTGACAGTGACCCTCTTCACGGCCTCCCTCACTTCCTTGTTGCGAAGGGTATAGACGATGGGGTTGAGGAGAGGAGTGAGAAGGGCATACACCAAGGCAATACACTTGTCTGTGCCCTCAGAGCGGTTCCCAGGTGGCCCCACATAGACCGTGAAGGCGGAGGCATAAAAGAGGGCCACCACGATCATGTGGGAGGAGCAGGTGGAGAAGGCCTTGACCCGGCTGGCAGCCGAGGGCAGCTTCAGCACGGCCCTCAGGATGCCCCCGTAGAGTCCCCAAATGAGCACGAAGTTGCAGCCAGTGGCCGCACCAATCACCGCCCCGTGCACTCGAGCGTGCCAGCCTGCGTCCACGCACGCCAACCGCATCAGCGGTGCCAGGTCACAGAAGTAGTGGGCCACCTCTTTCAGACAGAAGGGTAGGGTGGCTGTGAGGCTGGCTGGCACCAGTGCCGCTGAGAAGCCAGCCACCCAAGCGGCCCCTGCCAGCCAGAACCGGACCTTTCTGGTCATGAGTGCCCGGTAGTGGAGCGGGCGGCAGATGGCCAGGTAGCGGTCCAGCGCCATGACGCCCAGCAGATGGCACTCGGTCATGCCCAGGGAGTGGAAGACGTACAGCTGGATGAAGCACACCGCTGCCGAGATGGCTGAGCGCCCACGGAGCCACGTGTGCAGCAGCGTGGGCACCGTGGCGCTGACGTACCCGAGCTCCAGGAAGGAGAGGACACCGATGAAGAAGTACATGGGTGTGGACAGTCCAGCATCCACCTGGACCAGGACAACGATGAACAGGTTCCCGGACAGTGTGAGGAGATAGAGGCACAGCGTCCCCAAGAAGGCAAGAGGTCGCAGGGTTCCGGGGACACTGAAACCAGAGAGGATGAAACTCTGGGTCCACGTGTGGTTGAGCGGATCCATGATACCTAGGAAGTACTTCAGGATCTTCCTCTCTTTGGAAAAGTCTTCCTGGTGCCAAGAACATGAAGTGTGAGCACCTAGCAGCAACCTGACATTGTCTAACCAATGCCAGTCCCTTCACAATAGAGGAATTGCACTCCCAAGGATGGAAGTGGACGGACCCACATCATAGAATCTGCTGTTGACAGGGCTGGAACTAGAAACCAAGGCTCCTGATCCCAGTTGAATCCTCTCTAATTTATAATATTGGGTTCTAGATACTTGGGCATCTGGATCTTGTCTCTAGTCCCCCATCAGCAAATAGGAGAGGCAAGAAAATTCCTACCTCTATCCTTCCTATAGTTACCGATGATGAAACAACCAGCAAAACCGGGCTGTGGAGAAGAATGAAGTCATCCCCTAAAGGTGACTTCCAGGGCCTCTTTGAGGAAGCCCCACTGGAGTTTATAGACTGTTCCCATAAGGGCTGGAAAGAGAGGTGGGAAATGGCAGAGATGGGGGCACTCTGACAACAGTCCCTGACATCTGAGGTCCGCGGTGCCCGACGGTACCTCCCTTAGTAGACTCACCATGTCTTTTGAAGTATGATCTCCACAGGAGACATGCACTGGGATCTCTTAGGGAGGAAAACCATAAGGTCAAAAGTCCCAAGCAAGAAGTCCTATAGCATAAAAAGAAGAGCCTTCTCTGAATCAGCGATTTGGTTTTAGCACCTGCTCTGTCACTGACCGGCAGGGCACCCTGAGCTGAGCAACTTCTCCTCACATACCCTCAACTTCCCTAAAATAAACAAAAAACAGTGTTGAACAGATGTTTTCTAAGACTCTTACAACACAGAGCATTTATGGTCCCCTAAAGTCCCTGAAAAATGGTTTGGGGGGAGGGGGGAGGGAGGCGATCTACACTAACATGCCCAGAGTTCTCCTCCCACACCCTTCACCCTAACGAACCTCCCCTAGGAAAGATCGACGCCCTCCCCTGGTCCTCTGCTTCTACTACATTCACCCCTGCTGCCCTGTCCCTGCCCGTTACCTGACCGTGTGGATGACATTAAGACTCATGGCACCCTCCTCATCATCGCTTGCCCCCCAAGACTCTGCCCTACTTATATCTCATGCTCCGGGACACACTGGTCTCCCTGGGGCTCCTTGCTGCGTGCTCCCTGGGGTTGCCGGGTGTGACTAGCCATCTCCAAGGGGTTCCTCTGGGGCAGGAAGTGGGGCACGGGAAAAGTGAAGCAGATCCACTCTGTTTCTCAAACAACTTTTCTCAGCCCTGCAACCCTCATTGTTGGGCTCTGGAGTCCAGTGTCTTCAAGTTCCAGAGAGCTTTCTCCAAGGAGAGAGAGCCCACCCCCCATAATCTCAGGCACACACGGACAGTAACACCTTGGGGACCCCAGAAGTGTCTCCTTCCTAAAAACTGCCTTGGTGAGAGACTTCTCTATCAGCTTCATTTGCACCAAAGACAAGGGCTGGGTGACCCCAGAGGACTGAGCCGTGAATTTGCCCGCAACTAGCTTTGCCCTGGTTTGAGGAAGATCAGCTGCACACGATTCTCTTCTTGTCCATGACAAGCATCATCGCTCCTTCCTGAGCACATCTGCTATTACTCATTCACTGAGCCCCCCAGCACTGTGTGTCTACTGTGTGCCCGGCACCATCGCAGACACGGCCATCGCCGCCACCGCCACCATCGTGACTACGACACGGGACGCCCACGTGCTGCTGACCCTACTTCCCACCATCACGCTCCGTTTATAACCACCGGGATCATCGTCATAAAGGTCCTGCAGTCAGCTGTGGCACCCTGACCTCAACTGGACACCATGCACGTGCCTGCACTGGACGGATAGAGAGGCCATATAAATAGTAGACTGAAAGCATTAATCCACTGGAGACTACTGGATGTCCACCACCTACGTCTGTGGATTCAAACGTGGTTTAACATCTAGAAATCAGAAGCAAAGGACAAGATAATAGCAAAACTAACCCGGCTATCAGGACATTCACCATGAAAGATTTGCGCATAGACCACATAAACGCAGAACAAACTCTCTTCAGGTCAACCTAGAAAATCTTGAGAGAGCTGGAGTTGTTTAGTTGGTTTCGGGAAGTTTCTGTAGAAAATTATGTAACCTCTCTTTTTTTTAAATATGAAATTTATCGTCAAATTGGTTTCCATACAATTTGCGCTCATCCCAACAGGTGCCCTTCTCAATGCCCATCACCCTCTTTCCCCTCCCTCCCACCCCTCATCAACCCTCAGTTTATTCTAAGTTTTTTTAAAAATTTTTTTATTACATTTATTTATTTTTGAGAGACAGAGAGAGACAGCGCAAGTGGGGGAGGGACAGAGAGAGAAGAAGACACAGAATCCGAAGCAGGCCCCAGGCTCTGAGCTGAGAGCACTGAGCCCGACTCGAGGCTTGAACTCACTTGAGATCATGACCTGAGCCAAAGTCGGACGCTCAACCGACTG